AAAAAAAAAAAAATAGCTTAAGCTAGAAGCCATCACTTGCTTCATTGAAGAAAGATTGACCAACTCCTAGACGTAAAAAACGTCAATGGCCGATATAATGAATTTCTAAATAACCGACAAATATAAATGGGAGCAGGGTGGGACATTTCAAAAGAGAGCACGAGAAATATCAAAGGAACAATTACAAAAGTTGTGTGCAGTGGCCTTTTATTTGGCTTACATTTACTTCTATGGTCAAACTGAGTATGGGTTACCTTCCAAATGAACATGTAGAAGGATGTTATTGCAGCTTTGCTTTTCAAGTCGATTGATTTTGCACGATTCCAAAGCAATAAACCCAGCAGGGCATGACCAGTGACCTAAAATAAGTGCAAAGAAAAGGCAATAAATAACTATTCTTTATTTATGCCAAACCAAGAGCTCGATAATCATTTATGCAAAACCAAGAGCTCGATAATCTAACAAGCACAATATTTCTAAATACACATCTTTTCATAGTCAGGACATGTAACTCCTCAAAAGTGCACATTGCAGATGCACCCAGTGAAAAACAACCTGATAAGACACATATGTATGCATAAAGCTCAAGACTAGAGTTTCGTCTTATTTTTATGCACAGAATACCTCCATAAAAAACAATTACATGAATAATTATAAATACTACCTCGAGATTTAGCCTATAACTACAAAAAACAATCATTCTCAAAATTACAGATATCTCCTTGAGGTAGTTTTTTCTTTACCAATTATACAAAGACGACCTTTAAAGTTGAACAAGTAAAAAATCATATGTTTTAGGCATAAATTTCATGGTTTCATGTAAACATTGCAAGTAATATAGCCCTTACGAAAATGAACAATATTGAGGATTATTGATATACCGTAATCCACTTGCTCCACATGAAAGGGGATGCAGCTCCTATAAACAAAGCAACAGCATATGCCATTTCAAGGAGCGAAATGCAAATCCAAAAGACCTGACAAAAATGGTTTTGACAAAAATCAAACCAAAGATATATTTTGAACATTTTAAAAAGCATTTGTGCTAGAGTTGAATTTAAAACTGATAACTAACTCTCTCCTGGCCCAATCGGACAGTAAAAGATCGTATCCCGTAAATCCTGTCCCCAACAATATCAGGTATGTCCTACAAACATGACAAAATCCAAAGTCAATGAAGCAAATTTTCTCAGAGAGAGAGAGAGAGAGAGAGAGAGAGAGAGAGAGTTGAGAGAGAGAGAAAGTTGTCACATATGATATTTCTGTTTACTTCAGAGATTCTCTTATTTGGGATTCTTTATAAATGGACAAGATTCCTAAGAATATTACAGCATGTTTGTTTATAAGAATTTTTAAAAAAAAATTCAACATTTTAACTCAACTACTTTTTTTAACTCAATTTTAACTCAATCAATCATTCATACACACCACAACAATCTTAATTCGCTATTCATTTACTCACATAATTTTAACTAAACATCACATCACATCTTCTCTCTCCTACTTTTACATTAATTTAATTTTAATTATTTTATTTTAAATATTATTTTAATATACCCACTAACAACTAATCATACCACATTTTCAAAATTAACCAAACCAAACAAAAAAATCCAAACAAACTCAAAAAATTTCATAAACATGCTCAACTTTCTCAGCAAGAAAATGTAAACTATATGCATATTATTTCGTTGCAAAAGATGCAACAGTTGGAATTCAAAGAATCACAAGTTGATACTTGTTGGAAAATTAATTGAATGAATTTGTAACATAATGGTTAAAGCTTGAAACTGTGTCTTTCACTTCAAAATTGTGACTTTGTTCATGTTACAAGAAGGCTCATTAAGTTTTAATTTAATGAACTATTGATGAACTATTTATTAATGTGCCTTACCTTATAACAATATAAGGCTTGTCTTGTTTTGAAGAAAACAAGATACGAAACCAAATACAATATTTTCAAAGTCTTATTCCCCATTTTTCCTTTTTAAGTGTTTTTGTCCAGGCATAGTTCCAGTTCGCCGAATTTGTTTCGGTTTTTCCGTTGTATCCTGGGAAACAGACGCTCATACGGGGCGAATATGTTTTAAGGACACTGTGTTCTCACAGGTCTCGGTATTTTGTTATATAGCCATCTTGTTTTTATTTTCCCGTTAAAGTTCCCTACAACACTTGCATCTCACAAAGAGAATTTACCTTAAACAATGCAATGACCACAGAAAAGAAGCTCATGAAAGCAGTTGCGAAAAACACGGGCTTTGAGAGGACAGCTGGCCTTCCGTATACATTCATCTGAGAATGGCAATGAATATCAGTATTAGGCTTTAACAACATGGACCATCACCAGACATTTAAATTCGAATAGATTGGCGAAAAAGACCAAACAGATCTTTCTATCGGTGCCACAAATATTATTGTCTGTACCAGTTGCATGAAAACTAAGTTGTAAATCATGTTTTTGGACATAAATATTGATAAAGCTCTCTCAATAATGTTGGTGCCAGAAATTCCCTGTAGTAGCTTGAAGAATCAAAATTCCTCAGAAATATTCAATTAAATAAATTAAGTTGAACGATCATGTCGTGTATGTCTTATAAAATCACGATTTGATTATCCTGCTAGCATTCTGTAGAGCTTTCAGCTGAGAAAAATTTGAATCATACATTGATCGGAGGAACTATGCAGCATAAGAATCCGGTTGAAAACTATGTAGTAATATAACCGTATAGGCATTTACTGACCAAAAGATGAATAACAACAAAATCTAGTACTTCGTATCAATATCAACATATTAATAAAGCATAACTTGGAATTACAACTTGTATCCCCAATGAGCATAAATAATTTTTAAAAAAGTCAGCAAATCATAAGATAATCATTATTATTTTATTTTAATTTTATACAGTTTCACATTAAGTAAGTGGTCCTATAGTAGGTCAAATTTAGACAATCAAAATGACATAGGAAAAAGGGATGTCTAGCTCTTAAAGAGAAAAGGAAAAGACATCACACCTGCACATGTAAATAGAATGCAATTTGTACAATTAGTGCTCGCACAGCAAAGATGCACATGGCTGCAAGTACAGCAAATCTCTTCCACCTAAAAAAGGGTACCTGCACATCGTTACACAGGAAAAAGTGGAATTTCAATGCATAACTTTTAAGTCCACAAATATGAGAAACAAATTATTCATGAAAGAATCTCACATTGATGGAATAGGCCGTTCCAAGTATAAAGCTGATGAAGAGAGCCCAAAATAATGGCCATGAACCTACAACCCATCCAAGCCAAAAACTCTACAAAAAATATAATAAAAAATTAAAAAAAATCGAGCCAATAATTTCAATAAAATAAAACCATAACATCAGATAATACAGGAACTTAAAAAGACAAATCCGATTAAGAGTTTTCACCCACTGAGATGGCAAATGATGTGACAATGAAGACCCCGGTTCTGACAGAGTACTCCCCAGACGCCAAGGGAAGATATGGTTTGTTAACCTGTAAAGAAATGGTATTTGAGCTTTTATCTACAAGATGTAACAGTATTGAAACCATATTGGAATTAAAGAATCATGAAGTGGCATCTGAATGAGAAAAAATTGTACTAACAACGTAGCGCATTCAAGTCCAGAAGGTTACTAATGGTATCAAAACATAATCAAGTCTTGAGGGAACTTTGAAAATTTGATACAGACTGAAAGCAGTAAAGGTGCAACTCTTAACAATTATAATTGTGTAATCAGCTAATGCAAAATTTCAATTAAAAAAA